GTCTGCCATAATGTCTCCCATTGTCCCTTAATGTCTCAGTGTCTGCCATAATGTCTCCCAATGTCCCTTAGTGTCTCAGTGTCTGCCATAATGTCTCCCAGTGCCCCTTAGTGTCTCCCATAATGTCTCCCAATGTCCCTTAGTGTCTCAGTGTCTGCCATAATGTCTCCCAGTGTCCCTTAGTGTCTCAGTGTCTGCCATAATGTCTCCCAATGTCCCTTAGTGTCTCAGTGTCTGCCATAATGTCTCCCAGTGTCCCTTAGTGTCTCAGTGTCTGCCATAATGTCTCCCAGTGTCCCTTAGTGTCTCAGTGTTGCTATAATGTGTGTCCCTTAGTGTCTCAGTGTCTGCCATAATGTCTCCCAATGTCCCTTAGTGTCTCAGTAGCATAATGTCTCCCTGTCCCTTAGTGTCTCAGTGTCTGCCATAATGTCTCCCAATGTCCCTTAGTGTCTCAGTGCCATGTGTCTAGTGTCTCAGCATAATGTTCCCAATGTCCCTTAGTGTCTCAGTGTCTGCCATAATGTCAGTGTCAGTGTCTGCCATAATGTCTCCCAGTGTCCCTTAGTGTCTCACTGTCTGCCATAATGTCTCCCAGTGTCCCTTAGTGTCTCAGTGTCTGCCATAATGTCTCCCAATGTCCCTTAGTGTCTCAGTGTCCCCATGTCTCCTTGCAGCCTTTCCCCCCCCCTTACTTCCCTGAGCTGTGGGCTGTCTCTGCAGGGTGGGAGTTGCCTAAGAGTAGTGTGTGAAAAAAAATATATATAAAAAAAAAAAATGTTTTTTGTTTTTTGTTTTTTTTGTTTTGTTTTTTTTTAAATCAATGGGCCTATTACATGGGCCTGGGCCTGGAGCTGCAGCTCCATCAGCCCCTATGTTAATCCGGCCCTGCCTACCCCATCTCACTCTTGAGGAAGTACCTACATACCCATAGACCCCATAAATCTCTACAACTGTATTCATATGCAAGCCTCCCATAGCCCTGAAGACGATTAATATGACAGCTGCTGAACTAAGTTGGTCTTTTTCATGTAATTGTTCAAGAGACCCTAATCCCTGTTTTGCCCCATATGGTGGAAACATACCACAAATTGTAGAGCTCTGAGCACCACTATGAATTGTACCAAAACTCACCAAGTTATGAGTTACCACCACCATGTTTATCTCCCTAAAGGATGGACTATCTCCTGTGGAAATATTACTTATGCTTAAGTCCCAGGTAACATTACAGGAGGTCTCTGTGCAATATCACGCCTAACCATGACCATGTATTCCAAATCTGACCTCTTCCTTGAAACCACCCAGCTACACAAACCGCAGAGACACAGGAGAGATGTTAAAAACACTCTCTTATCTAAATCCGAATACTCTGCCCTTGCGTACTCCCACGATCATCTTATTATTGGCACTCAGAATCACAACACAAACAAGGGTGTTTGTAGAATGTTTGTGTTGTTTGTTTTGTGATTCAGTCATACAGTGATCAGCCACGACATTAATCTGCTGACAAGGAATGTGAATAACATTGATTATATGGCACCTGTCACGGGGTGGGATCTTTTAGGCAGCAAGTGAACAGCCAATTCTTGAATTTCATGTTTTGGAAACAGGAAAAATGGGAAAAGATCTGAGTACTTTGACAAGAGCCAAATAGCGATGGCTAGATGACTGAGTCAGATCATCTCTAAAACAGTAAGTCTTGGTATGTTCCTGGTATGCAGTGGTTAGTACCTACCAAAAGTGGCGCAAGTACTGGCATCAGGGTCATGGGCACCCAAAGCTCATAGATTGTTATGCTAGATTGTAGCTCAAATTGTTGTCCATGATAGAAAGGTGACAGAACAAACAGTATATTGTAGTATGCGTAACAGCAGACCAGTCAAAGGGCCCATGATGACCCCTGCCCACCACTGAAAGTTCCATTAATGGAGATGTAAGTGTCAGACCTGGACCATGATGACCCCTGCCCACCGCTGAAAGTTCCTTTAATGGAGATGTAAGTGTCAGACCTGGACCATGATGACCCCTGCCCACCACTGAAAGTTCCATTAATGGAGATGTAAGTGTCAGACCTGGACCATGAAGGTTGTGTGATCTAATGAATCACGTTTTCTTTTAGATCAGGTGCATGGCCGTGTGCTCGTGTGTTGTTTGCCTGGCAGCCAGATGCACTATGGGAAGAAGGAGGGCTGGCAGAGGCAGTGTTATGCTCTAGAAATGTTCTGCTGGACAACCTTGGGTACTGGCATCCATTTCAACATGTACCACTTACCTAGAGATTGTTGCAGAACACATACATCTCTTCATGCCAATGATATTCCCTGATGGCAGTGGCTTCTTTCATCAGGATAATGTACCATGCCTCACTGCAGAAATTGTTCAGAACTGGTTTAAGGAGCATAAAGCGATTAATGTATTGCCTTGGCCTTTACATTCCTCAGATCTCAATCCAATTGGGATGTAGATATATTAGACAGCAAGTGAGTTAGTCAGTTTTTGAAATTCATGTGTTGGAAGCAGGAACAATTAGCAAGCGAAAGACTTTGACAAGGGACTAGTAGTGATGGCTAGATGACTGGGTAAGAGAATCTCCTAAACAGCAAGTAAAAGCTGTCAGTGAGAGAAAAGTGTAAAAACACACAGTGCATAGCTGTTTGCTGACCGGTCAGAGAGCCCATGATTAACCTTCCACCACCGAAAGAGCCTTCAATGAGGACAGCAATGGTGCTCCCTGATGGCATTAGTCTCTATCAGCAGAATAATGTACTGCAAGAATTATTCAGGAATGGTTTGAGGAATAGAGCAAAAAGTTGCCTTGGCTTCAAAATTCTCCAGATCTCATTTTGATCTATGGGTTGTGCTGAAAAAAACAAATCATGAAGGCCAGGACTTAAAGGATCTGCTGCTAATGTCTTGGTGCCAGATACCAATGGACACGTTTAGAGGTCTGTGCTTCAACGCATCAGAACTGTTATGGCAGAACCCGAGGGACTTACACAGTATTAGGATGGTGGTTAAATGTTATTTGCTGATCAGTGTATGGCGATTAACAGCCTGCTGATTGGCCAAAATTCATATGAATCCCAATTCCATTAAAACCAAATTTAGAAGTCTACAAATAACCATTAACAGATTTATTTAACCAATCATTGTTAACAGGAGTAGTCCCAGAAGATTGGAAGTTAACAAATGTTGTGCCCATTCACAAGAAAGGTAATAGGGAGGATTCGGGCAACTATAGACCAGTAAGCCTTACTTCAGTAGTGGGGAAAGTAATGGAAACCATGTTAAAGGAAAGGATTGTTGCACATCTAAAAACACATGGATTTCAAAATCAGAAACAACATGGGTTTACTTCAGGGAGATCATGCCAAACTAATCTTATTGATTTTTTTGATTGGGTAACTAAAATTATAGATCAGGGTGGTGCAGTAGACATTGCTTACCTAGATTTCAGTAAGGCTTTTGACACTGTTGCACATAGAAGGCTTATCAATAAACTGCAATCTTTAATTTTGGATTCCAATATTGTTGAATGGGTAATGCAGTGGCTGAGTGACAGGCAACAGAGGGTTGTAGTCAATGGAGTATATTCGAAGCATGGGCTTGTCACCAGTGGGGTACCTCAGGGATCTGTACTTGGACCCATTCTCTTTAATGTTTTTATTAGTGATATTACGGAAGGTCTTGATGGTAAGGTATGTCTTTTTGCTGATGATACTAAAATATGTAACAGGGTTGATGTTCCAGGATGGATAAGCTAAATGGCAAATGAATTGGGTAAACTAGAAAAATGGTCAGAATTGTGGCAACTGACATTTAATGTGGATAAGTGCAAGATAATGCATCTTGGACGTAAAAACCCAAGGGCAGAGTACAGAATATTTGATAGAGTCCTAACCTCAACATATGAGGAAAGGGATTTAGGGGTGATTATTTCTGATGACTTAAAGGTAGACAGACAATGTAATAGAGCAGCAGGAAATGCTAACAGAATGCTTGGTTGTATAGGGAGAGGTATTAGCAGTAGAGAGAGGGAAGTGCTCATGCCATTGTACAGAACACTGGTGAGACCTCACTTGGAGCATTGTACGCAGGATTGGAGACCGTATCTCCAGAAGGATATTGATATTTTAGAGAGTTCAGAGAAGGGCTACTAAACTGGTTCATGGATTGCGGGATAAAACTTACAAGGAAAGGTTAAAGGATCTTAACATGTATAGCTTGGAGGAAACATGAGACGGGGGGATATGATAGAAACATTTAAATACATAAAGGGAATCAACGCATTAAAGGAGGAGACTATATTTAAAAGAAGAAAAACTACCACAACAAGAGGACATAGTCTTAAATTAGAGGGGCAAAGGTTTAAAAATATATCCACTGCTTTACTGAGAGGGTAGTGGATGCATGGAATAGCCTTCCAGCTGAAGTGGTAGAGGTTAACACAGTAAAGGAGTTTAAGCATGTGTGGGATAGGCATAAGGCTATCCTAACTATAAGATAAGACTAGGGACTAATGAAAGTATTTAGAAAATTGGGCAGACTAGATGGGCCGAATGGTTCTTATCTGCCGTCACATTCAATGTTTCTACGTTTCTAACCTTTTCAATTTCTGGACCTATTCATATTTAAATCTATAGGTTCTATAAAACATTGTGCTTTTGTTCAAACACGTGTTTATAGAGTATATTTCAAACAGCTGCAGAAAGTCTTTTTGCTTTTTCTTTACTTTTTCTTTACTTTTTACCATGGTTAAATCAGTTGGTCAGGAACAGTTCTTATTGCATTTGTTGGTGCGCATTGACCACTTTTTACTGAACAGAGATATTTTAGAGCCAGAATCAAAATGATCACAGCTGCTGATCCAGAAACTTGGATGGACATTACTCCATGGATTATTGAATGAAAATTATTCCCAATATTAATCTCTTTTGCATGCTAGATTGTTTAACAAAATATATAAATGGTATAATATACAACAGAATCAATTATTTATTGCCACATAATGTAATAATTTATTTTAGATAATCTATACATATACAGGAATGTTACTATATTTCAAAGACTTCATACTATATAATTCCATTATTTCAAATAAATACAAAATGTTATTGATTTAATGCTCCAAAACAGCAACAGTTTTGAGAAAAGAAAGTTTATTAGAAAATCAAAAGCAGAGAAAAAAAAGAATGTTATTATTATTTTCAATTGAATAAAAACACAATTAATCTCACTTTTCTCCCAGCTCTGTCATATTCTACTCATTTAAGCCCGATGCGATTCTAATTACATTATCGGTTCTGATGACTTCTGACCAATCAAATGCTTCTCAAAGAGAAACACTCAGGGCACATGTGACAAGCCATAATCTGCCAATCCAATACTTTTTTACAGGAGCACTGAATCCAATGCCACATGTAAGCATGTGAACTGCAAAAACTGCAGAATTGACACCATTTTCATTCAGAGCCCCATCTAAAAACACAATAATCACATCTGTAAGATTAAGTTATGGGGTGGTTAGTATTCTGTCCCTTTAACATACTGGAAGCATAATTCAAATCATAATATGTTGGACACACGAATGTTGCAGGGCTTTTCACTAAACTGTGAATTGTAGAGAATCAAATTCAATTAAAATTATGTTTCCCAACCTTGATTTTTCAACTCTCATTTAACTAATAAAATTTCAGAATCTAGTGATTAGCCCTGTTGGCATGCATTAAATCCACTGCAAGAAAAATAATGCATTGTTTAACATTGATGAGAGCTTGATGAATAAGGTTATTGGAATATGATAAGATTTGTTTGTGTCGATATAAGTAATTAAAAAAAGCAAGGTGAGAGACTTAGTGATTCACATCAACTACATCCTTTGTGCTACTGATGGCATAATTTAGAGTGTGAAACATAGAACAACCGAGGACAAGAAATCAATGTAAACACACAATCAATGTAAACACACAATTCAAGATTTTTGCAGGAGACAGGTGCATGGATTCAATGCAAGTCCAGGAGACGTTCTTTATTTCCAAAATGCCACTCTGTCAAAGACAGACGACATTCCACCTTGGGCATCCATTCCATTACCTCTGCAACACACAGGCTGAAACACACAAAAAAAAACAGACAATTAAATGATTTGACAACTGTATTTATAGGTACAATGTAACTAAACATCCGTCGTTATTCTGAAAAGGACATTATCACAATCTCAAGTTTTTAACATTGTTTTCATACACGTATAGGCATACAATCCCACCACTCAAGACCATTCAGACTAACCCCATGACAGATTTTATCTTAACCTCTTCACTACTGAGCCCTTTCATTTATAAAATAGAATAATATTCAGGAAACCCAAAACGATAAGTCCATTTACATTACTTTAATCTGTTGTTTATTTGTACTTTCTTTATCAATTTTGCGGAGGATATTTGGGATCGCTTAACACATAATATCTCAGGCTGATAATGCAGTAGCGTGCCCAGAGTGCTGTAAATTGGGATTCCATTGTTACATTTTCCCCGTTTAGATAATTGTCCTCTGATTTTGAATGTGATGAGTGTGGGTATCTAAATGCTTCCTAATTAGGTGACTTTATTCCAGTGTGTAAAAACCGAGTAATGTAGAAAATAGAAGCCAGTCCTCCTGCTCTATATTCATTTTGTATTTAATTACTATTTCCAAATCTTTAACAGAAAACATCCTCTCTCTAACTACCTGTCTTTAATCCATCTTCATTACACTTACCACGCAGCACATGCATATCAAGATGGCGGCAAAGAACAGCGACATCAGAACTAGCAGAGCAATACCCCACCCAGGGACTGGCAGACCTGCAGACAAACAAAATAGTTTAATGAGAGGCCAAACTCTTTATTAAACTGTGTAAATGATTTGTGCGCATAGTTGATATTGTAAATATGCAAGTTATAGCAATTTTTTTTCTCTCACGTTGCCTTCACTCTGAGTCACCGAGTCTCCCTCTATTCTATCTGTGCAACTGCATCAAACTGTAGACTCCTCCCTCTATTATACCTGTACCACTGCGTCAAACTATAGACTCCTCCCTCTATTATACCTGTACCACTGCGTCAAACTATAGACTCCTCCCTCTATTCTATCTGTGCCACTGCGTCAAACTATAGACTCCTCCCTCTATTCTATCTGTGCCACTGCGTCAAACTATAGACTCCTCCCTCTATTATACCTGTACCACTGTGTCAAACTATAGACTCCTCCCTCTATTATACCTGTACCACTGCGTCAAACTATAGACTCCTCCCTCTATTCTATCTGTACCACTGCGTCAAACTATAGACTCCTCCCTCTATTCTATCTGTACCACTGCGTCAAACTATAGACTCCTCCCTCTATTCTATCTGTACCACTGCGTCAAACTATAGACTCCTCCATCTATTCTATCTGTACCACTGCGTCAAACTATAAACTCCTCCCTCTATTATATCTGTGCCACTGCATCAACTATAGACTCCTCCCTCTATTCTATCTGTGCCACTGCGTCAAACTATAGACTCCTCCCTCTATTATACCTGTACCACTGCGTCAAACTATAGACTCCTCCCTCTATTCTATCTGTGCCACTGCATCAAACTATAGACTCCTGCCTCTATTCTATCTGTGCCACTGCGTCAAACTATAGACTCCTCCCTCTATTCTATCTGTACCACTGCGTCAAACTATAGACTCCTCCCTCTATTATATCAGTATCACTGCATCAAACTATAGACTCCTCCCTCTATTCTATCTGTACCACTGTGTCAAACTATAGACTCCTCCCTCTATTCTATCTGTGCCACTGCGTCAAACTATAGACTCCTCCCTCTATTATATCAGTATCACTGCATCAAACTATAGACTCCTCCCTCTATTATACCTGTACCACTGCGTCAAACTATAGACTCCTCCCTCTATTCTATCTGTACCACTGTGTCAAACTATAGACTCCTCCCTCTATTCTATCTGTACCACTGTGTCAAACTATAGACTCCTCCCTCTATTCTATCTGTGCCACTGCGTCAAACTATAGACTCCTCCGTCTATTATACCTGTACCACTGCGTCAAACTATAGACTCCTCCCTCTATTCTATCTGTGCCACTGCGTCAAACTATAGATTCCTCCCTCTATTCTATCTGTACCACTGCGTCAAACTATAGACTCCTCCCTCTATTCTATCTGTGCCACTGCGTCAAACTATAGACTCCTCCCTCTATTATACCTGTACCACTGCGTCAAACTATAGACTATAGACGTCAAACTATAGACTCCTCCCTCTATTATATCAGTATCACTGCGTCAAACTATAGACTCCTCCCTCTATTATATCTGTACCACTGCGTCAAACTATAGACTCCTCCCTCTATTCTATCTGTACCACTGCATCAAACTATAGACTCCTCCCTCTATTCTATCTGTGCCACTGTGTCAAACTATAGACTCCTCCCTCTATTATACCTGTACCACTGCGTCAAACTATAGACTCCTCTCTCTATTCTATCTGTGCCACTGCGTCAAACTATAGACTCCTCCCTCTATTCTATCTGTGCCACTGCGTCAAACTATAGACTCCTCCCTCTATTATATCAGTATCACTGCGTCAAACTATAGACTCCTCCCTCTATTATATCAGTATCACTGCGTCAAACTATAGACTCCTCCCTCTATTATACCTGTACCACTGCGTCAAACTATAGACTCCTCCCTCTATTATATCTGTACCACTGCGTCAAACTATAGACTCCTCCCTCTATTCTATCTGTGCCACTGCGTCAAACTATAGACTCCTCCCTCTATTCTATCTGTGCCACTGTGTCAAACTATAGACTCCTCCCTCTATTATACCTGTACCACTGCGTCAAACTATAGACTCCTCTCTCTATTCTATCTGTGCCACTGCGTCAAACTATAGACTCCTCCCTCTATTCTATCTGTGCCACTGCGTCAAACTATAGACTCCTCCCTCTATTATACCTGTGCCACTGCGTCAAACTATAGACTCCTCCCTCTATTCTATCTGTACCACTGCATCAAACTATAGACTCCTCCCTCTATTCTATCTGTACCACTGCATCAAACTATAGACTCCTCCCTCTATTCTATCTGTACCACTGCATCAAACTATAGACTCCTCCCTCTATTCTATCTGTGCCACTGTGTCAAACTATAGACTCCTCCCTCTATTATACCTGTACCACTGCGTCAAACTATAGACTCCTCTCTCTATTCTATCTGTGCCACTGCGTCAAACTATAGACTCCTCCCTCTATTCTATCTGTACCACTGCGTCAAACTATAGACTCCTCCCTCTATTATACCTGTACCACTGCGTCAAACTATAGACTCCTCTCTCTATTCTATCTGTGCCACTGTGTCAAACTATAGACTCCTCCCTCTATTATACCTGTGCCACTGCGTCAAACTATAGACTCCTCCCTCTATTATATCAGTATCACTGCGTCAAACTATAGACTCCTCCCTCTATTATATCAGTATCACTGCGTCAAACTATAGACTCCTCCCTCTATTATACCTGTACCACTGCGTCAAACTATAGACTCCTCCCTCTATTATATCTGTACCACTGCGTCAAACTATAGACTCCTCCCTCTATTATATCTGCACAACTGCGTCAAACTATAGACTCCTCCCTCTATTATACCTGTACCACTGCCAAACTATAGACTCTCCTCTATTCTATCTGTGTACCGGCCAAACTATAGACTCCTCCCTCTATTATACCTGTACCACTCAAGGCCAAACTATAGACTCCTCCCTCTATTATATCTGCACAACTGCGTCAAACTATAGACTCCTCCCTCTATTCTATCTGTGCCACTGCGTCAAACTATAGACTCCTCCCTCTATTATACCTGTACCACTGCGTCAAACTATAGACTCCTCCCTCTATTATATCTGCACCACTGCGTCAAACTATAGACTCCTCCCTCTATTCTATCTGTGCCACTGCGTCAAACTATAGACTCCTCCCTCTATTATACCTGTACCACTGCGTCAAACTATAGACTCCTCCCTCTATTATATCTGCACAACTGCGTCAAACTATAGACTCCTCCCTCTATTCTATCTGTGCCACTGCGTCAAACTATAGACTCCTCCCTCTATTATACCTGTACCACTGCGTCAAACTATAGACTCCTCTCTCTATTATATCTGTGTTATTATCTTATTGTGACTTTTTTGGCATCTTTTTAATCAAATTAATACCAATAAATAATCTCAGACAATAGAAATTAATATCGCAGTATATGTAACATTAAAAGTAAAGACTATTCAGTGGACATGACAGAATTCACTTACCAGGTGCTGTTATGGTGGTCTGAGCATCTGTGAGGGAAAGGGAGAGATCATCTGTGACTTACTGGAGACTTGGATGGAGACACAGATACACAAAATAGATAGAGAGATAGACATTCTATCTACTGACAAAGGGAGATAGATGGACAGACAGACAGATACAAAGAGATAGTGCAATGACATAAAGTGCTAAACAGATTAACAGGCAGACAAAGATAGACAGACAGACAGACAGACAGACAGACAGATAGATAGATAGATAGACAGAGATAGATAGATAGATAGACAGACAGATAGACAGATCGATAGACAAATAGATAGAGATAGATAGATAGATAGATAGATATATAGATAGATAACAGATTGATAGATTGATAAATAGATAGACAATTTATAGATAGATAAATAGATAATATATAGATAGATAGATAGACAAAGATAGATAGATAGAAAGATAGATAATATATAGATAGATATATAATAGATAGATAGATTGATAAATAATAGATAGATAGATATATAATAGATGGATAGATAGATGGATAGGTAATATATAGATAGATAGATAGATAAATAATAGATAGATAGATATATAATAGATGGATAGATAGATAGATAATAGACAGATGGATAGATAGATAGATAGATAGATAGATATGTAGATAATTAGTACTCTCTTACCTGCCACATGCAGTATCACACCTAAAGCTGCGACCCATAATCCAATTTTACACATAGACTGTTTGGAAAGCATGTTAACCTTAACCCAAAGAAGGGGAAGATTGTCTTATGTACCGATATGGACCTCTGTTATCTCAGCTGTGGATGCTGTGCATTTTTATAGCTCCTGCCAGAATGGGGATTGGGAGGTATCTTTGTCTCAGCAGCTAACCCCAGATTAATGGGGGGATTAAAATTAATTACTCAAGAAACTGACTAATGATATTTATGAGTGAGGAGTTTCCTGATATCCTTCATTCTTCTTGACAATATTTAGACTCTAAGTATTATTTTGTGAAGGTTTTTCAGAATGTTTTGAGGAACCAAATAACGTCGGTAATGTCACTCCAAAACACAGGAAACCATTAAGTTAGAAATTCCATTCAGAATGAGGTATCTAATGTATGGTAAGTATACCATAAGGATCATACAGAGTCGCAAGCATTTTAAGAAAGGATACTCGAACCAGGGAAATACCAGCTGACCAATTTAAAGTTATCAGTTTGAATAAATACAGTATTCATCTCAGTGTTAGCTAAAGGAAATATGAGTCAGACTACACTCATTTTCTTCATTATACCCCCGTATTGCCCTTAGATAAAACCCTAACCCTAACGGTACTCTCTAACCCTAAATGTGCTCTCTAACCCTAACTGTACTCTCTAAGCCTAACTGTGCTCTCTAACCCTTACTGTACTCTCTAACCATAACTGTACTCCCTAACCATAACTGTACTCTCTAACCCTAACTGTACTCTCTAACCCTAAATGTGCTCTCTAACCCTAACTGTACTCCCTAACCATAACTGTACTCTCTAACCCTAACTGTACTCTCTAACCGTAACTGTGCTCTCTAACCCTAACTGTACTCCTTAACCCTAAATGTGCTCTCTAACCCTAACTGTACTCTCTAACCCTAACTGTACTCCTTAACCCAAACTGTGCTCTCTAACCCTAACTGTGCTCTCTAACCATAACTGTACTCTCTAACCCTAACTGTGCTCCCTAACCCTAACTGTACTCTCTAACCCTAACTGTACTCTCTAACCCTAACTTTGCTCTCTAACCATAACTGTACTCTCTAACCCTAACTGTGCTCTCTAACCCTAACTGTACTCCTTAACCCTAAATGTGCTCTTTAACCCTAACAGTGCTATCTAACCATAACTGTGCTCTCTAACCATAACTGTACTCTCTACCACTAACTGTGCTCTCTAACCCTAACTGTACTCTCTAACCCTAACTGTACTGTCTAACCTGAACTGTACTTTCTAACCCTAACTGTACTCTCTAACACTAACTGTACTCTCTAACCCAATGGTGCTCTCTAACCCTAACTTTACTCCCTAACCCTAATGGTACTCTCTAACCATAACTGTACTCTCTAACTCTAACTGTACTCGCTAACCATAACTGTACTCTCTAACCGTAACTCTATCCCTAACAGTGCTCTCTAACTCTAACTGTACTCTCTAACCCTAACAGTGCTCTCTAACTCTAACTGTACTCTCTAACCCTAACTCTATCCCTAACAGTGCTCTCTAACTCTAACTGTACTCTCTAACCCTAACAGTGCTCTCTAACTCTACTCTCTAACCCTAACGGTGCTCTCTAACCCTAACTGTACTCTCTATCCCAACTGTTACTGCTCAATCTAATATGGGTAAACTACCATTTGTTTTTATCTGTATTTCATTTTTACAGTGAGCACTATTGTGTTGATTTTACTGTTTATATTCATTTGGTGGCTGAGTGACTATCCCACACAAGCTACATATCAATCTGTGGGAATTGTCCTGCTATACGCTGGTCTACAGCTCTATAAAATGTGAGTGTGAGTCCGCTTGGCATTTGACTATCTGCATGATTATTGATTGTTTTCTGTTTTATTTGCACATTCGTGCCACGAGGGAACCAAATGACCGTGCGTACGAGGCTCCCAAGTAGGGCTAACCCACCACAATTCAATTGGATTACAAAATAGACAAATAGGCCCAGAAAGATCATACAAGTCCAAAAATGGAGATCCCTTCAATAGATAAAATAATGGTCGAACAACTTTATTAGAATATGCAACAATTAGAAAAATTAGAACAATAGACAATAAATAGGAATGGGGCTGTGCTGTATGACGGGTGTTAAACACCTGGGTTTAGATTTAAGAAGGTACAAAAAAACCAACCATTTCACAGAAGAAGAAATTCACCAGGGTCTTAGACAGGAACGTCCCCTGATGCCGCAAAGAGCGAGACGAAGGTCTCATAAAAGTCGATTTTAAACATATTTTAAAAAAAAAAAAAACCCTAGAGCCCGCTCTTATTGTGATATACCAGGTGGAAATGGTGGAGTGAAAAAATATAAAATAACAAACCACTTGTGTACAAAGTATAACCACAATAATTTTGGAATGGAAAATTCTCCATTGGAGAGATGGAAACCGGGTCCTAATAAACATATTTAGATCATTTGCCCCCAAAGTTGTTTATAAACAATAATAGTAGAGATAGAAATCTCACAAACAAGGGGTAAATAGTGTGGATAGAGATATTACTCTGATTGGATATGATTGTCGGTTTGAATAGCCGATAAAGTTCTTGTTTCTTATTAACCTCTTGGTGGCCAAAGCATTAGTTGATCTCTTTTGGTTTATACAGTTTATTTATAAAAACATTTATGATATATACTTGATACTTATTTAAGATGAATGAAAGAATATAAAAATACATTTTGCAGATTGCAGTGTTACATAACATTTGAAAGTTGTGCGTTATGAATGCATAACATTTATGAAAGGTAATCAAAATTATGACAATTAATAAAAGCTAACTGTGTTTTAAAAGACAATTAGTAATATGTATATACACATTTATTAGTTATATATCCAGACCATATATTGACACTTCAATGGAAGTGAATATCGGCTATTTAAACCATCATATGCAAGCGGTATCCTCTGATGAAGAGAGACCTATCTCATGAAACGCATAAGGACTTGTTTCCGGCACGAACCGCAAACCACTACCGAGAAGGAAATTTGGAACACACAGAAGGGTGATCATTGAGACGCACGTGGCTCCAAGCAGTGTCTCTCCACCAACCGGCCGGACTGAAGGACCGGTGCCACGCTACCTCTAACCACCAACAGTGTTTCCATATCCTCTTGGTACAGACTGTGAGTGTGATTTTAATATTATTTATCTTGAAATAAAATTTCCTAATACAGAAAATGCCATGGGTTTCTACTTTATCTTCCCATAGATTGAAGATATCTTTTAACACTTGAGATTATTATTATGATATTTATAGAGCGCTGTCAAATTCCGCAGCGCTTTACAATGGGTGGACGAACAGACATGTAGTTGTTATCAGACAAGTTGGACACACAGGAACAGAGGGGTTGAGGGCCCTGCTCAGTGAGCTTACATGCTAGAGGGAGTGGGGTAAAATGACACAAAAAGGTAAGGATAGTAGGGACAGTTGCAGAAGAGGAATCAGTCGGGAGCTATTAACAGTTTAATTGATACGCTTTTATGAAGAAGTGGATTTTTAACGATTTTTTGAAGGAGTGGAGACTGGGTGAGCATCTAACATCTAACGGAGGAGTGAAGCGAGTTCCACAGGAACGGTGCAGCCCTCGAGAAATCTTGAAGGCGAGCATCAGAGGTGGGAGTACGGACAGAAGATAGACGTAAGTCTTCAGCAGATCGTAAGGGCCTAGATGGGACATACTTGTGTATAAGGGAGGATAGATAGGTGGGAGCAGCATTATGTAGAGATTTGAAAGCCAGAACCAGAATTTTAAATTGAGCTCTATATTTTATAGGAAGCCAATGTAGGGACTGACAGAGGGGTGAGGCATGGGAGGTGCTGGAGGACAGGAAGATCCCTGTATATAATCTTTAACCCCTTAATGACCAAACTTCTGGAATAAAAGGGAATCATGACATGTCACACATGTCATGTGTCCTTAAGGGGTTAAGCTTTTTGCAGATGCAAGCAGTGTACAAATTACATAGATAGAAAACTATTATTTTTGTACTATATCAAAAGCGCTTGTTTAGCAGATATACCCCTGTTACACAGTAACTGCTTTCAGCTAACATTTGAAAGGGCTATTTATGCAATTGTATCCAACAAAGACTATACAAGTTGCAACTATTGTGGACTGTAAAGCAACCCTTTTTTTTATAACACTGGATTTATTTTATTGACCAGACCTTTTAAGATTTTATATCAAATAAGGTTATCAAATGGTGCAATAATTGTGAATTCTAATGTATATAAGCATTGTTTTTTTATGAGTATTGATTTCTAAGCCATTTTAATAGTTTTTATCTAACAAGATATATACCCTATATTACTCATGGATACCATTAGAGTTAATCTAATACGTCATCCTAGCTTACCTGATATACAAATCAATTATAAGGTATAATACTAAAAGGCCCCTTTAAGAATCTACCACAAATATTTGATTAACAAATACTTCAAATGTAAGAATAAGTAAGAGAGACGAAAAAGTTGTTGAGTTCATCTGCCCCAGCAAATTCCATTCACCTTTCTCTCAGTAACCGGGTGATTATTAATAGGGTGACCCTCCAACCTCCCTTAATTTTTCCCAAGGAGTTACCCCATCAGTGACCAATCTAGTGAATCAAAAAGTGCTCAGATCATAAGTGAAAGCCTGGATGGTTACCTGGAATTGTTTGGACTTTTTGGACCTTTTTTGGGGACTTTATATTTGACACAACTTGTTTTTTTAATTTGTATTGAAATTTGATTGTATAGATCTCAGTAGATAGGTTTTTGCTCTGCCATAATAAGACGGGCAGCTGTGCCAGAGAAATTGTATTATGCCCGGCTCTGAGAACCATCCATTCACACGTGGATGTTAGAATCCAGGAAAAGTGTCACCTGGCTAAGCACTGGTCTTGTTTTGGTGAGGGCAAACTCTGATTTCAGATTTTAATAGGATCCCTAAGAACTAAATGCCTACAAAGACATACTGTTACTTGGTCAATCACTATTTTCTTGCAGTTTCAGAATAGAGGGATGAGTTTCAGAAACTGTTGCCATTTGGCTCTTGTAGTCTTAACTTTCAATTTTACCATCTATCTAGCAAGCTATCCAGCCCAAAGCCCTCAGAAAGAGTAAGGCCATAAAGGGCTGGGTCAATGGGTGGTTGCTATAAATGGTGCCTTGGAGCTATAGCCCAGGGGAGACTGGTACAATTTATCTTTGAGACACTATAACAAAATGTCTTTCTCCATTTTGTTACAAATTATCATCACTCCGTGTTTTAACCAAATAACCAGCAAAAATGTGTTTTATTTTTTCACTCAATTACATAATCAACTACTCAGGCTTACTTGGGATGATATGTAAATGAGCAAAACAGAAATTATCTTTCTGAAAGAGGTGCATTTCCAAACTATCTTAAACCCTTATAGGTTTCTCCTACTCATTTCACAATGATTGATGTAATAAGTGTAAATACAACAAGCTGGGAATTAAATAACACCAAGTCTCCATCGTATCCGAAGTAGAGAGAGATATGGACTCCTTTTCCAACCATCAAATGATATCCTTAGAAGCCATTGGGGATTGAGAATATTCTTGGATTAAATTGAGTCAAGTGTCCCTTGGGTCTATATGTTGCATGAATTAGACCAAAATAACAGAAACTATATTTGACTTTCCCCTATTTGAGCGTGAAAATGTAGTTCAAAAAATGTAATTGAAATGAATTTCGAATTTTCAACAATTCCCATTTTAGTGAATAACCTGTTAATGACCCAATTTCTGGGACACAAATTATGATTATATCATAAGATGGCCGTGGATTCCCTATAGTCATGTCTTTTTACAAGGTTTTGGAAACATTCATGAGAGATTCGAGTCTGTGTTGCTACAAACATCCTGGATTTACAGAGATCTGAGCTCAGTGCAAGATATTAGAATGAACAATGTAAGGGACATTCAATAAAGCTAAAATTTGGAATAAAAACAAATTTCAAATATTATGGCCAAGCAGTTGAATTGGAAAATCCAGCTGTAATTACATTTTGGTTATCCTGGATTAAATTGGGAAATCCACTTTGAATTCTAAATAATTCTCACTTCCATCAATCACCCTTTTTGCGAAGATGCAAGCTTGGTCTAAGTCAGTGGTTTCCAAACTTTTTAGATTCAAGGTGCCCCAAGTAAAAACTATTTTCTACAATGTTTATATGTACAACGCTGTGGCATATACTGGGTCCCTGATCTTGGGAGTGGCACTGGTAGATTATTTAAAGAAACAATCCAGGCACAATAACCACTACATTATGTTTAAGAACAGTTTGACAACTTACCTGGGGACTGCCGGGATAGGGGCTAGAGGCTGTAGTGTGTGTGTGTAGTGTGTGTGTGTGTGTATGTGTGTGTGTTTGTGAGGGGTGCAATATGTGTGTGTGAGGGGTGTGTAAGGGGTGCAGTGTGCAGTGTGTATACAGGGGTGCATTGTGTTTGTGAAGGATGTCGTTTGTGTGTGTGTATGTGGGGCAGTTTTTTGCATGAGGGGTACAGTGTGTGTGAGGAGTACAGCGTGTGTGTGGGGGGGATACAGACACACACCATGACACAGACAGACACACACCATGACACAGACAGACACACACACCATGACACAGACAGAGACACACATACCATGACACAGACAGATACACCATGACAGACACACACACATACACTCACACTGACACACGTAATTGCTACCTGTGTGCTGGCGGCCGCATGGGGAGCTCTGATGGCGGCCGCATGGGGGGAGCTGGCTGTTCTGTCTCTGCTCCCCCGCCCCCCCGGTCTCTTTGTAATGCGCTGGGGCGGGGGAGCAGAGACAGAACAGACAGCTCCCCCTGCGGCCACCAGAAAAGCCAGCTGCCTGCCAGGCCCCAGGTGCCGACGGCCCACCGGGAAATTTCCCGGTATCCCGGTGGGCCAGTCCAGCCCTGTGTATAGTACAGGACAATGTTGGAGGAGCCGTATTGCTTTTTTTTGTTATATTGATATAGATAGACAGACAGACAGACAGATAGATAGATAGATAGATAGACAGACAGACAGACAGACAGATAGATAGACATAGATAGATAGATAGACAGACAGACAGATAGATAGATAGACAGACAGATAGATCGATAGATAGATAGATAGATAGATAGACAGATAGATAGACCATTCTGTGCCATTACTAGCCTTTGAATCAGATTTTGGTCTAAGGTTCTCTATATTCTCCAGAAAAATGCTAAACATTTCTTGTTCTCCTGCTGAATTGGTATCTTTCGTGGTGCTTTTGTGTTATGTTGATAGTTATTCCGGTTCTATTAATTAATTAATTAATCTGTTAAACGATGCACAAGTCAGACGTGTCCACCATCTTACATAAAATATTAAAAACAAACATGAATAGTTATTTTTATTTACGATGGAAATTCATCAGGATAGGAGTAATTAAGGTCATGATAAGATAAATATTTTAATAGTTTTTAAAATAGAAAGAACATACAAATCTCTGACATGTCTAAATATTTATAGGGGAACCACCGCACCTACAAAATGTATCCGAACATTAGGATCTAAATGCTTTAAAATGGGTTTTTAGGATCATATAACATAATGTATGTCAGGCAGAAAAGACGTAACATTTATTGGTTTCTATAAAGAAAAATGATGTCAAATCATATCTGTAACGGCTTAACTTTAAATGACAAGACATTGTGGAATGCCAATTAATGTCATATTGCAAAGTTTTTAAACTGTGTAACACGGTATGAGTCGGACTGAACTATCGTGGAAATATTTCTATTGCTGGACTGGTGTTTAAATTGATTATGAAGAAGAATATTATAGTTTGATAAGATTCATAGAAACAGAATGAGAACATGTAGGTTTAAACTTACTGACCTTTCTAACTGCTCGAAGTTATTCAATGTAGAACATTTTGGAGGCTGGTTAAATTCCTCATTCATTAATCTTTCATTTTATATCAACATACTATTAATACCAAACATTCTACATACAAAGTCATAGCAATGAGTGCTTTAATGTGCTTTTTATAAACACGCGACTTGGAATGTGAATAATGGGACAAGATCTGATGTCATATTGGAAATGCGATTAATACACAGTGTTAAAATGGTACAATATGCACCATAACCACTGCAGTGCATTGTGTTGGTCCTGTTGCCAGTTTGCTGTTAAGAGTTAATGGTTTGTGAATGGTTTCACAATTAAACAATGCCCTATCCCCAAGAGTTTGCACTCTGATCACTCTACAAACACTGCTAAAGAGGAGGTTACTAATTCTATATTACGTTTATATTATCTTTGGATGGAATTAATTATTTGTGTCAGCTGTAACTCTTCAGGCTACAAATTACACCCAAAGTTGCACAGAATTAATGTAGCTAACGTGGAAGGGGAATGTCCACATGAGCGATATCTGTGAATCAGGACTGGATATCATGGAATCCAAATAAAATGTTAAAAAATTATTTGACCCCATAATGGTGCCCCCTTTAAAAAAAATCCTGAATGCTAAGTGTTTTTCAGAATCCTTATTTGGCTATCATTAACTCCTCAATTTGAAATTGTATTTACAAGGAAAGGTTAAAGGATCTTAACATGTATAGCTTGGAGGAAAGACGAGACAGGGGGATATGATAGAAACATTTAAATATATAAAGGGAATCAACACAGTAAAGGAGGAGACTATATTTAAAAGAAGAAAAACTACCACAACAAGAGGACATAGTCTTAAATTAGAGGGACAAAGGTTTAAAAATAATATCAGGAAGTATTACTTTACTGAGAGGGTAGTGGATGCATGGAATAGCCTTCCAGCTGAAGTGGTAGAGGTTAACACAGTAAAGGAGTTTAAGCATGCGTGGGTTAGGCATAAGGCTATCCTAACTATAAGATAAGACTAGGGACTAATGAAAGTATTTAAAAAATTAGGCAGACTATATGGGCCGAATGGTTCTTATCTGCCGTCACATTCTATGTTTCTACACTGACAGACATACTGACACTCACACTGACAGGCCTACTGGCACACAGACACATACACTGAGAGACATACTTACATGCACAGACATATTGACACACACACAGACATACACTGACAGATGTACTGACACACACATACTGACACACTGACAGGCATAATGACACACATTTACATACAGGCAAAATTTACACTTTGAAACCCACCAGCCTTGGAGTGGTGCCTGAGGCTGTTTGGGGCTGGTGACTAGCTTTTAGCAGAGCTCCAAAACCACGACTAGGTATCTCCACTATTCCTTCCTCGAAGCTGAAAGAAGCGCTGTAATAATCCAAAACCTTCCCCCCCCCCAGATGACACATAGCTCTGGGAGTCAGCTGAACTTCATTTGGCCATAAACAGGTTTTATGCATATACCCCTAGCATAGGGTCTGCATAGCAACATTGCACTGGTTTCTTCTCAAGAGTCTCTGTTTCTGATAAATAATTGAGCTCAAAATAAAATAATTCAATTATCTCCCAGTTACAGGAAATAACAGAAAATATCACAAATCACCATAATAACATAGGAACCCCACAAAAGTCAGTAGTTTGGAATTGCCATTCGACCACAAAGTGATGTCCCAAAATAGTTCCACAGAAAACAAGACGATGACCGGTCATCTTTCTGGGGTTCCCATATCCAACATGCAGTTCCACGCATTCGACGACCATGTACCGCTTCCAGAGTTCGGGAGACAAAAATGCCACCAATTCTTGAAGCACGTGTGTTTGGTTATACGAACGGCGGCCACACACTAATTGCTTATTTGTGGTTAACAGCCAGGGGTGGTCGGTGATTATGAAGTGTGAACAAGCGGACCACACAGAGTTGGTTCGCCAAATGAACAGAAGGTGTATGGACAGCCGAACAAAAGGAATAAAAGTTTATTTCACAAATTCATTCTGCTACACTGCTCCCCCGTAATCACAAGCCGGCATACACAGATCAGCTTGGGGATATCCGTGGAGTGCTCACGGATCACTTTTCCAGTTCAGTTTGTCGACATAACCCGTCGGCATTGCCATTCTGTTTCCCAGGGCGATAGTGAATGGTAAAATCATGTGGTTGTAATGCCAAACTCTAGCGCAACAACCGGGCATTGTCCCCTGCCACTCGATTTAGCCATATCAATGGGTTTTGATCCATGAGTAAGGTGAACTGCTGTCCTTAAAAATATGGCTGGAGTTTCTGTAGGGCAAATAACAGCCAGGCATTCATTTTCGATAGCAGCGTAGCTCACCTCCCCAGGTAGAAGTTCCTGCTGGGACGAGCTACGGAATGTTCTCCACCATCTTCTCGGACCTGACCCAACACTGCTCCCAACCCAAACATTGGAGCATCTGTGTGATCAAGAAATCATTTAGCTGGGTTGGGAGCAGCTAGGACAGGACTGTTGACAAGGGTCTGCTCACACTCTGGGGCCCAATCCAAATTATTAGGCAAATTCTACTTAAGTGTCACAAAGATTAAATATTTTATTTTTCAGTTTAACTCATGGATGGCATTGTGTCTCAGGGCTTTTTTGATCACTGAAAACAATCTCGGACACCTGTGATGATTAGATTGCCAGGTGAGCCCAATTTAAGGAAAAACTACTAAAGGAGGGTGTTCCACATTATTAAGCAGAGCACCATTTTCATGCAATATGGGGAAGAAATATGATCTCTGCTGACTAAAAGAGCGAAATAGTTCAATGCTTTGGACAAGGTATGAAAACATGAGATATTTCACAAAAACCTAAGCGTGATCATTGCACTATTAAGAGATTTGTGGCTGATTCAAAGCACAGACGGGTTCGTGCAGATAAAGGCACATTGAGGAAGTTTTCTGTCAGATCTATGCATCGGATCAAGAGAGCAGCTGCTAAAATACCATTACATAGCAGCAAAGAGATATTTGAAGCTGCTGGTGCCTCTGGAGTCCCACGGACATCAAGTTGTAGAGTCCTCCAGAGTCTTGCAACTGTGCATAAACCTTCTATTCGGCCACCACTAACCAGTGCTCACAAGCATAAACAGCTGCATTGGGCAGAAAAAAACTTATTTTCACACAGTCCTTTTCACTGATGAGTGCCGTGCAACCCTGGATGGTCCAGATGGATGGAGTAGTGGATGGTTGGTGGACGGCCATCCTGTTCCAACAAGGCTGCGACGTCAGCAAGGCATTGGTGGAGTCATGTTTTGGGCCGGAATCATGGGAAGAGAGCTGGTAGGCCCCTTTAGGGTCCGTTAAGGTGTACAGAGGACCTCTGCAAAGTATGTGGAGTTTCTGACTGACCACTTTTTTCCCTGGTACAGAAGGAAGAACTATGCTTTCCGTAATAAAATCATCTTCATGCATGACAATGCACCATCTCATTCTGCAAAGAATACCTCTGCATCAATGACTGCTATGGGGATAAAAAGGACCTCAGTCCTATGGAGAACCTTCGGAGCATCCTCAAGCAAAAGATCTATGAGGGTGGTAGGCAGTTTACATCCAAACAGCAGCTCTGGGAGGCTATTCTGACATCTTGCAAACAAATTCAAGCAGAAACTGTCCAAAAACTCACAAGTTCAATGGATGCCAGACTTGTGAAGCTGCAATCAAATAAGGGGTCCTATGTTAAAATGTAACATGACCTGTTAATATGTTTGAAAACTTAAAATTTTAGTATACCTTTGATTGAAATAGCTTTTGATTTCAGTAAATATGCTGCAAACACCACAAATGACAATGTTCAGTTCTTTACAACCTATAAAGTGTTTTGAAACTTACTGTGCATAATAAGTTTTTTATGTTTAAAAAAAATACTGTTATCATCAGGAGTTTTGTTCAATAAAATTTGAATTGTACTCTTAGTAGTGGATAACATGAGAATTATGCTGACTGTTATTGACATAAATTATTTAGGTAAATGAGAAAAATATAATTTGCATAATAATTTGGAACAGGGTGTAGATTGTTCTTCTTGGTCAGATCAGTGAGGGGTTTAACGAGGGCAATATAGTTTGGGACAAACTTCCGATAGTAGCCGGCTGTTCCTAGGAAAGTTAGAACCTAGGTTTTGGTATGGGGAGTGGGCCCCTGAGCTACAGCCTCAACCTTTGCCAGTTCGGGTTTCTGTTTCCCATACCCCACCCGGTGTCCTAAATACTGGACATCTGCCATCCCAAATTATTCTGCTTGAAGGTTAAGTCGGCCTCTCTAATCTGGTCTAGTACCGCTCCTATGCGTCTTCCAAGGTTTCACTGAAAATCGTGATGTCGTCCAAATATGCACACACATAATCTTGGAAGCCATCGAGTAACTGGTCCACCATACGTTGGAACTTGACTTTGCCAACCACGAGACTGAACGGACGCACTTTTGCAGAGCTCCGCTTCATCTAAGGAATAAACCCAAAAATATAAGAAGAATTTAAATGACGCGGAACATCTACACCTCACCCCCCCCAAGAGACAACATGGGGCAAAACCATCGCAAACCTCAGGGGCCAGAAACCCTCAAACACAGAGATATAAGGCATCACCGGCGCCCGCCAAAATGGCGCTTGCAGAGACCCATGAGGAGGAGAACTCGGAGGAATCCCTAGAAGAAGAGGGAGAGGAGCTTGCCTCCTATAGACAAGGAGACTCAGATGGGGCAGACGACTCAGAAGATGATTTGTCCCCCGCAACTAAGGGAGACATCAGGCAAATGCTCCTAGAGATGCGCCAAATATGGAAGTCGGACCTCAGAGAAATCCGACAAGACATGGGGGCAATGCGATAAAAACCGGAGGTAAGAGACACAGTGCGGGAAACACGGCTGCAGGCCACCAAGTCCAGCATTGGCACCCTAACTCTGCAGGTCCATAAACTGAACAGAGCAGTTGCCTCTCAGGAAGACACATGCACCGTTATGTATGCCTGCGGGGAATACCCAAAGATGTGAATGGGGATCAGCTCTTACCATACTCCGGTTGGCTGCTAACAGCTATAGGCCTCACAGCAGACCCCAACCTTATACTAACGGTATTCCGAGTGAGGAAAGCTGAGACAGCACCGAAAGCAGCCATGAGAGACGCTATCCTGGTAACCTGGGACACCACAGCAAAATCAGCCATTATAGCCAGCGCCAGCACACTAGGGGGTGTGGACTTTGAAGGAGCCAGCATAACCTTATTCACACTGCTGGAAAGAAGGAAATTGGTTCCATTAGCCAAGAAACTGAGGGATATGTCGGCGCGGTACCGCTGGGGAGCAGACAGAGTGCTGATAGTGACAAATGGAGGCAAGACCGTCACACTCACGTCGGCCGAAGATCCGGAGCTGCTAATCCAGAGTCTAAACAAAGACACAACACCTAAAGCAAGTTCGAGCCGGCGCATGGGGGAAGAGAAGCAGAGAACTGGAGACGGCAAGCCGTGGATCATACCTAAGATACCTAAACTGTGAATCCACAAACTGTGAACATTATTAGGCTGGACTGAAAAAAACACTAGGCTCCACAAGACAGCAAGCACTTAAGCCACTACCATGGCACACCGCTACACTACACGCTAGCATCACAGTTCCGCAGCACCACCCCAGATAGAATCCCACACCTCGATTCACTAGGTCCCACTGCACCCACACTGTGAAGCAAACACCCCCCCTCCCCCTCTCCCCAGACATAGCAGGAAAGACGGGAGACCCCGATGACCTCTGCCCACAGAATCAGCACCTGCCATTACATGACACAAGGAGTACACACTGAGAGTCCACACATATACCAGGCTATACTAATATGTTATACGCAATAAGTTAAGCTATACAGAATAAGTCTTATTCATTACTGTAACTTCGAAAAACCTATACCCTGACATGAATGCTTGGCACAAAATTCAATAAAATACAAATTTTAAAAAAGAAATATACCGACTGCTCTGCCTGAATCTATGGAACTCTTTTAGGCACGCTCCTCGTGTGCGGTCGGTCTAAATTTTATTATATGACAGGAGGCTTCCTATTTTGCATAACCTTCTTTACTTGTGCCTCCAGCACTGTAAGCCAATCAGAAACCAGCATCACATCCATAAAAATTTCCCTGACAGGCATATCACTTCCTCTTTCTTTGGTGCTCCAGCCAGGCATTTGTTCTCTGCTCATTAACTCTATCTGTATGAGTGGATTGTACTATATTATATTGTTTATTATATTATATTTTACCCATGCTCCTTCTCCTCACCTGTCTACCCTCCTTACTATTTATTGTTGTTGTCTTTTTTCCACTACTCGGCTGACTCTTCTCTTACCTCCCTGTCTCTCCTATCTCAGCAATCATCATCACCACGATCGCGCTACTATTGACAGGGTCTGGGGCCAGCATACAGGGCACTATGGGTGGGGGAGTGTGGGGCCCGCGCCGGCTAAAACTGTGCGTGAACGGCGTCCATCTTGATCTTGCGGACTGCGAGATTCAGGTCAGTCACTTTTTATATCCAAATCGTGATTCTGGTCTGTTTTTTTTTTTTTTCACTAATAAACTGTTCTAGGTCTAATACTGTAATACTGCAAATGTATATTGCAAATGTAATAGGGTAAAGGTATAAATATATCTGCAAATGCATGTATTAATAAGGTTGATGGATAGCAGAACTGGACTCTGTATTGACAATCTGATGTGTAATTACCAATTAACATTTACACTCCTAGAGGAGTGTCTCTACTAGGGGCAACCCCCCTCACCACTGGGGTGACCCCCCATTCACACAAAGTTTACATCAGTGCTATTAATCACTGCTCTAACAGGGATGACCCCCAAGCGAGACTTGCACTGACCCTCCAGTGACAAGCAGATTTCAGGGGTGACCCCTCCTTACCGATAGGGTGACCCCCCATATGCCCTACCAAGAGGCTCAATACACATGGCCATACACTTTGCCATATGCTGACCACAGGTCATACCAATAATATATGATACAGCACTCCCATGCTACGACTGGGGTGATCTGTTCACCTACTTATCAGCAATAGGAGGGAGCGCTCACAGTGATACCGTCTCCACAACATTAGACCATAACAAGGGTACCCTTAAATGGTACAAGGGATCTTTACACCTCCCTTAATGGTCTCTGACCCGATTACATTTGAGCAATCAACCTGGGCTTATAGAGGGTGACCCTCTCCTCAGTCCACTTTATGTCACTATCCAATCCAAGTGGTTCTGATTAACTGAGGCCCACTGTGCTACAATGTGTACTTCTGTACTTGAACCTGTTCTGTCTTCCGCAGACAGGAAAACTCAACTGCCATAAAATGAGCGACTCACCTCGACCACCTTCCCCTGACTTCCAGTCAATGATCAATGTGGCTGTGGCAGCTTCAATTGAGAAAGCTATTACCAAGATGCTGGTGCAAAACCTTATGTCAAACATTGACACCTCAATAGCTGTAGAGGCTAAGGATCCTGACACTTTGAAATTGTGGGTCAAGGCTCCACTCAAAAGGAGTCTCCAGGCGGAACGCCGAGACCCATCATCCAGGGCATGCCCATGTTTGACCCCCACACAATACGACACCCAAGATCGTCTGAGTGGGGGACTGCCAGAACACCTGGCACAGTTTATACACTTCTGGTTGAGGAAACCAATGGAGAAGGAGGTAAGTTCCCGACTCTGGGGCGAATGCCCAAGGCCAATGCTACCGAACAAGATTGCCCACACCATGGAAATCGATACCATGGTGGTAATGTTTATGTCCATTTGGGCCGAGACCCATGTAAGGGCATTGAGAAAGGGCTTAAGGCCTCCCAGGACAGATGCTGGATATACTTGGTTCACTGGCAAAGATATTGTACTTTGCTGATCTGGCCCTCACCCAAGGCACTCCTCTGGATGCCCATGACTTAAGGGAATGGTACAAAGGGCCATTTGCATGCTGGGCAACACAAATGTTGCCATATGCGCAGAAAGACACAAGGCAGCGCTGTTGAAAATGTACTCCAAACAGCTGGAGTTGGGCAAAAAGGAAATGGGCCCCCTGGTGAATGGACAGTTGTTTGGAGATTCATTCATTAATGAACTAAAGAAGCACGTGAACCTATTCACTACCCTGAAGCAAGGGTTCCGCAACCCAACATGCAAGTGTTCCGCAATCCTGCACCACACAGGTTTTTTTTTGGCAGGGCTGGTCGCCAGAGGGGTCGAGCCACCAGCCGTTTCTGTCCCACAGGTCCCAGGAAACAAACTCTGCAAGCCTTCTTCCCATCCTCAAGAGCTATTTTCTCAAGGTGATCCTTCCGTCCCATAGGTGCTCATAACTGAGGACGCGGACGCTTCAACACAAGTGAGCATTCCTCCCTCAATGTATTGCCATTCACAGACTGTCTCTCTTTTCACAGAACTGGAAGAGGATTTCCACTGACACCTGGGTTCTTCATATGGTGAGGGGTTACATAATAGAATTCACCGACACCCCAGTGCAGATCAGACGCCCACCCCCACTTCGGGCATCGACAGATCACAAAACGTTCATAGACAAAGAGTTTTGAGCTCTATTCGACAAAGGAGCAGTGGAATCCGCTCCAGACGCTCAAGATTTTTTCAGCAATATCTTTGTGGTCAATAAGAAGAAGACTGGAGATTACCGACCTGTCATCAACTTGCGACAACTAAATGGTTTCGTAACGTATCGACATTTCAAGATGGATGCTATTCATGAGACCTGCTCCTCGAATACGACTGGTTCACATGCTTGGTGTTGAAGGACTCTTACCTGTCCATCCCCATAGCACACCATTGACCATTTCTGCGATTCACTTGGGAAGGTCGCCCATGCCAGTTCACATGTCTACGGTTTGGCCTCAGATGGCCCCGTGGTGCTCCACAAAACTCCTGAAGCCAGTCATGGCACAACTGAGGGCAAAGGGAATTCGCTGCCTCATCTATCTGGACGACATGTTGATATTCTGCAAAAGTGCATCCAGACTTCAATCTCAAACGAGGTTTATTGTGCGATTTCTGGAATCATTAGGCTTTATAGTGAACAGAGAAAAGTCATCACTATGTCCATCCCGAATTGTTCAGTTCCTAAGATTCAAGATAGACTCGAGAACATGTGTCTATCTACTGGGGATCAATAACCTCATGGCGGACTGGTTCTCTCGACACCGACGAGACAGCAGTGACTGGCGCCTAGACACTTCAGTTTTCGCGATGGTGAGAGCGATCATAGGTCCACTACACATAGATCTCTTCACGTCATGGTTGAACTCCCAGCAACCGAAGTATCCACAGTGCAAAGCGGTGGACGCATTTCTACAACCGTGGCCCCGACAGGCGAATGTGCTTTCCCACCATTCTCAATGCTGGCGAGGGTTCTCCATCACCTCCGCGTGTCCAGGACTTCGAAGAGTCAAGCATCGCCTCCATGTGTCCAGGACTATGGAAGAGTAAAGCATGGTTCCCGGACCTGTTGGCACTAACTCAGGATCACCCATTGCTTTTGCCATCATTCCCACTCCTTCTAATGATCCCGGATTGGGGAATTCCACCCACTAATCCTACAAGAATGTCTGTAATTAGTGGCCTGGAGTCTTTTTGGGGAGCCGGGTCCTATCGCAAATGACTAGAGACCTACTATAGGACTCATGAGCAACTGGTACAAGACAAAGCTACATATCCACATGGAATACCTGGAATCGCTGGTGTATGGAGAGTGACTATGGTCCCTTTACAGCACCTATTACCGCAGTGCTGAATTTTTATTAACCCTTTTTTTCAACAGGGCTGTCATATCGTTCCATTAATATCGTTCCATTAATATTTCAGCCGCATACGTTCTGATCAACGGTACTCCGATTGGATAGGATCCTTTGATATGCCTATTACTATGGGATATCAAACTATCCAGACCCATCAGTTTTCGCAATGGTGATAAGCAACTGTGGGACGTGGATTTGGTTATTCGTTTCCTTTGTTTCTTCCTGTCATGTAATAAAATTGTAGATTATGCTAACGTAGCATACCTATAATCTTAATTTTAATAATGACAGGAGGTGAGTATTTTCCCTCCCTGGGTTTCCCCTCCCTATACTCTTGTGATATTATTACAGGCATTGTTTACATTTCTTATATTATTATAATGAGTTACATTGAAAGGACGATTCTTTATATTGTATTGATGATTTATTATCGTATGTCTTATAGGTTAATGCCTTAGATTGTGGTTATAAAGTATAGATATTTAATATCAGTTAGCTCATATTATATTATAAATTATTAATGTCTAAATTATATTAAGCTTACTATGTGGACACACGTTGTTTTCCACCACATTTCATTTGTTTCTGTTCTTTTCAGCACAATCGCCATTCATGATTCGGGAATTGGACAAACAGGATCCCTTCACGTTATGGTTCAAGTTTTGGTTATTCAAATTATAGATTTTCGTTATGTTCCCTGATGTTTCCATAGACTATTTTTGCATCAAAGAAAGAGGAAGTGATATGTCTGTCAGGGAATTATATGGATGTGATGCTGGTTTCTGATTGGTTTAACATTTTGATTGACTTGTGCTGCTGGAGGCATAA